AAGCAGAATCATTATTTTCTAAGTTTTATTTTTTTGCTCAAAAATAATAATTATTGGTAATATTTGAAATAACACTCAAAAATAATAATTAAACTTTTGGTGAATGAATAAAAAATAATCATTAATTATGTAATTTTTTTAATAACACTTATAATGAATACAGTCCCTGTATAAATATGTACATTGTAATCTGTATCGCCAGCACAATATGTTGATTTATTAAAATAAGATAAAAATAAATAAATAAGTATTTTTGGACTTTAGCGACATTAACTAAACATTTGAATACCATACTCTATATTTACTTTTGTAAAGATCGGATTGTAGAAAGGCAGGCCTTCACTTTGTTAAAGAAAAACAGCTAAAACGCCAAAAAGGGAAGGCATCCTGTCTGCTCTCTATTGAATATTTAAGCTCTTGTTAATTATTTGATGAGGCCAAGTTTTTACAGCTACTCGGATTGTTGCTAAACTCTGAATTTTATTGCCTTTTTGTTTAACTATTCGATTAAAATGCAACATCAAATGGCAGCCACAAAGCAAGCATGCAACATTGGTTCAATATCAACACATTGTGTGCGCACAGGAAAACCCAAAAAGGACAAGCGTACATGGTATTTGTTAGTTTCCGTGTGTGTGTGTGTGTGTGAGTGTGTGCGTGCACGAATGCTGCATGCAAAGCCACAATAATCGTGCAGCACAATGAAATCTACTTAATTTCGCAATAACTCGCCGCACAGTTCGATCTGAAAAATAGTCTTGGCCGACAACCCATGAACTCTGGCTCATGCATTTCACATTGGCATTGGTCAGGAGCGGTCGTCCCGGAAGCGTCTCGTGGTCCACAGGGTACGGACTCTCTCTCTACGAGTACGAGGACGGGTATGTTCAGTGGTCGGTGCGCGTTACTTAGTTATTTTGTCTGAAAAATTTATATCCTTGGAGGGCATAAGCGCTTCCGCTTCCGCAGTGTGTGTGTGTGAATGTGAGTCTCTATATATGTTGTCTGCACACTATATGTTCGAGTGTGTGTGTGTGAATGTGAGTCTCTATATATGTTGTCTGCACACTATATGTTCGAGTGTGTGTGTGTGTGTGTAGATATTTTATGGCATTTGCCTATGCGACTGTGGCTAAAGCTGTGACTGTGTCGGTGGCGAGGGGGTGAGGGTGAGGCTGGCTGTTCGGCTGACTGTTTGGTTGGCAGTCAGAATCAGGCGGCACTGCATGTTGTGCCCATAAATCATTTATTTGAAAATTGCTATTGTATTGCGGTTTAATAGCATGTGATCATCAGCAGCAGTAGCCCGGCTCGGCCCGTTTCGCCCTGGCCTGGTGAGCCAGTCAGTCAGTCAGTCAGGCAGTCAGTCAGTCAGTCACACACCTCATGCCGTATTCATAGCTCTGTCTGCCTCGCCTCTGCAACGTCGTTACATTTAATATCCCAAATCGCACGGCAGCGACGAGCACAACGACGAACGCGACGTGCAATGCCAAACCTGCCGCATGCCCCAATACGCCCATTAATTATACTGCCGCACTGTTGTTTCTTTTTTTTCTCTCTCTCTCTCTCTCTCTCTCTTGTTTTTCTTTTTTCTCCTTTCTCTTCCTTGTCCTGCAGAGGGGCGAGCAGAAAAACTAACTTCCGCTGGCCCATGCCCAAAAACTGCCAACGACATATGCCGCACGTTTGTTGCGCCTCTGCCTGTGCCGGTGCCTTTGCTTTTGTCGTTTGCCTCTTTATGCCACTCTTTGTCTGTAAGTGTGTGTGTGTGTGTGTGTGTTTGCGGCGCACTGTGATTGTGTGTGCGTAACGAGGTCATTTGGCTACACACACACGCACAGTAAAGCAAAAATTATGTTATTGGTCAATGTATTTATGAGCCTGCCTGCGGAACTCCACACTTCCCTGCTCTCCATAGGTATGCTTGCTGTTGTCCAGGGTGTCTGCGGCTGTTGCTGTTGCTGTGGTACGCAACGTTGACGGCTGCTGCTGTTGCACGAAAATTGCAAATTCATTTCCACACACACACACACACACTTGAAACGCTAATGACACTGCTCCGAGGGCGGTTAAAGCAAATCTTCTCCGCTTACAAAATAAATAACCAAATTGAAATCTCATTAGTGTCATCGATTTGGTTTTATTTAATAATCAAATACGATAGATATATGAGTTGAAACAATTTTGTTGCGTTTTCCAATTCAATAAAACAATCAAATTTCATTTGCTTTGTTTTAATGAGCTTTTTAATTAGCTTATAAAGCATTATATTTGCAGATTCGAGCTCTGGCTTTGCTTTCATTTGAAAACAAATTATAGCAGTAGCCAATAATTTCCCAAACTAATGTTTGTTTCGAAAAACTGTGCAAAAGACTTCATGCATCACCATTTCTGCAATGGCAGAACTAGTTTGGAATTTCAGTTCAAAACCAGCAATTTATATACATTTTTCACCTGCAGCTACAGATTTTATTTCAATTTATATTTTCATAAAAAATTATTAAAAGCAATCCCAAAGGGGTCAGCACATATTGGCCAACCATATTTAAGCCTGAGCAAGCTTAAAAATTGAAGTAAGCTTTTTTCTAAATATCTATTCTTCATATAAGATCTGTTCTAAGGGGGACAATTATTAAATTAAGAAGTAAGCTGAGTATGAAAAAATCCCTAACCAGACCCAATTCACACTTAGAGTGCTAAACAGAAGGTAAGTTTGTTAAAAAGCACTAATACCAAACTACTTTCTCTATCAGAGTGAATGTTTTTCGCCAAACTATACCGATTTGGAAGAAATATACAACCAAAGTAGATAATTTTATATAGATTACGTGTGCAAAGCTTTTGAAATGTTGTCAGTATTGACGACATTCTGTAAAGTGATGAGTGGAGAGAGGGGGAGGGGAGATTAAAAAAAATATAATAAACTCGTCTTGCCTAGAGACTAGGAGCATCTACATACCAAGTTTGGTTAATGTGTACTCAGCCGTTTCCGAAATCCAGGCGTTCATCCAGACGGACGGACAGGTCTCGATTTACCTCGTCATGCTGATTTCAAATATACACACTTTATTGGGTCGGAGATGCCTCATTCTACCTGTTAGATACTTTGCACAAACCTAATATACCCTTTTTACAGGGTATAAAAACTTTCAACGCCTTCCCGAAACATCTCAAACTAACACTAATGCACTTTTATTTATAAGTACATAGCACATTAAGGCGACAAACTGAACATTGGAATGCACTCTTCTCAATCCATATACCTCTGAGTGTTGTAGGTATTTTTTATTCAAGTGAAATCTCACGCTCTCTTCTTTTAAATGACGTTACTTTATTGATTCGCCACATTTAAGTGGCATTCGCAATGCCTCAGCTGTCCCCAATCTAGTTAATGGCATTAAATAATCAGTGCATAATGTTTACTCAACTGAGCTGCAATCATGCGCGACTATCTCCTGCCAATACTCATAGTCATATTCTTGGCCGCACTTCCCGTGCAAACACAGTCCATAGTCGCGATCAATGCAGTAGGTCCTCGTGAACGTCTCTCCCCGCACATTGTGCCACAGCACTACAAAATAAGCATCACCACATTTGTGGACATGCCAAATGGACCCTATAATGGCACTGTCGAAATTGATTTGAAGGTCCTGCAGCCCGCCCGCATCCTCACTTTCCATGCCAAGACAATGGAAATTGACACAAAGACGGGCATCTCCCTGCACACCAAGTCCAATGGCCGTGCATTGCGGATTCAAAAGGTGGTTATGTGGTCGAAGGAGCAGCAGGTGAATGTGGTGATGGAACAGCCGCTAACTATCGGTAAAGAGTATGTGCTAAGAATTAGGTTTGCAGCCAATCTAAATCGTGAGAATTCCGGCTTCTATCGCGGCTCCTATGTGGATCCCAGAACTACACTAACCGAATGGCTGGCGGCTACGCAATTCGAGCCTATCAATGCCCGGGACGCGTTCCCCTGCTTCGATGATCCCAGATTTAGGACGTCGCACTACATTGAGCTCTCCCACAGTAAGGCGTATAGGGCGTTCAGCAACATGCCCGCACTACATGTTCGCAAGGAGTAAGTAGATATAGAAACAGTTATTGAAACCCGTTTCTTTAGCTTAAACGCAATTAAAACAACAAATTTATTCTTGAAACTAAAGACTCTGGCATCAAGAAGTAGATATGTATTAAATTTTTCCATTAGAGAGAAATCTATGTAGACATGTTCGACAGTCTGTCCGTCTGGATTTCGAATATGGCTGAGCGCACATTAACCAAACTTGGTAGGTAGATGCTCCTAGTCCCTAGGCAACACGAGTTTATTTTATTTTCTCTCCACGCTACAGAATTTCGTCAATACTTTCCACATTTCAAAAGCAAGAGAAACAAAACCTACGCATAGCATACATAATCTTTATATAAATATATACTCTTCTTTCAAATGTTGACACAATTTTACTCCAGTACTGCGCCATAAACTCTTCACTCTTCATCTGCTTCTTTTACTTCTATTATGGGCTCATTAAACTCAGTGCCGGAAGTTTTTCTGGGTACACGGTATTTCACTGTTGGGTTTGCTCGACTCAGTTCAGAAACGGTTTTCAAACTGCAGTCTACAGAAAGTCTCTTCAATTAGAATAGACTCAGAGACTTTCAAAGTTTCTGAAAGCCTTTCACTTAAGCTAATTAGCAAGGCAATAGCGATTTTTATAGCAACGTCTGCCTATTCCAATCGCTCTATCCGCAAAATCATAGCTGCATTTACAATGAAAAAAGGATGAGTAGATGAAAAAATGATGGTAGGCATCAGTCGTCGATTGGTATTTCAAAATTAATATTGTTTTGGTGCAGGATGGAGTGTGAAGGGATGCATACAAATATGTAATGTCTTGCTATATTTCTTTTATCGTCCATTCACTGGAAATATAACAGAACTGTTACTTCTTGTTACCAAACACACTATAATTTAAGTTTGAAAGGTCCGTGTATTAATGCACAAAAAGTATCCGAACAGCCCCGTTGATGCAAAGCTAGTGTGGACCGCTTTTCAAGAGAGTGTGGCCATGCCTACCTACCAGATAGCCTTTTCGTTAAACAAATTCGAAAGTCGAATCTCAAGCGACACGAATAACTCAACAACCTTTAGGACGTGGGCTCGAAAGTACGCGCTCAACCAGACCGAGTATGCAGCGGAAATAGCGCCTCAACTGCTCGAGTTTCTCGAGGTGTTTCTGGAAACGCCCTACGATTTGCCAAAAGTGGACAACCTAGCCCTGCCGGACTTTGCCTATGCATCATCGAGTAACTGGGGCCTCAATATCTTCACAGAGGATGCCATACTCTTTGATGAGAAACGCTGCACCCTGCTGGACAAACAGAGTGTGGCAATGAACATCGCCAAGGAGTTGGCGCATCAATGGTTCGGAAATCTTGTATCCATTGAGTGGTGGCACGATGTTTGGCTCAAGGACGCCTTCGCCGAGTATATTGCCGGCTTTGGCCTGCACATGATCGAACCGAGCTGGTACTACATGGATCGGCGCACCTTGGAGAATGAATTCAAAGTACTAGAGTTGGATGCACACGTACACACAGATCCGGTGGCCACACCGGTGGCCAACGACACGGAAGTCTGGGCCGCCTACGACAAGAACAGCGTGCGGAAGGCAATCGCGCTGCTCGGCATGCTGCACCGCCTGGTCGGCGATGAGATAATAATCAATACCTATCGCCAGTATTTGCAACAGTTTTCCCATAAGACAGCCACCCAAAAGGACTTCTGGACTGTGTCCCAGCGCGAGGCAGATAATGCAGGACGTCTGCCGAAAGGCATGGCTATTGCCCAACTCATGGAGTCCTGGACGCTTCAAATGGGATATCCGATTCTGAATGTGACACGAGACTATAAGAAGCGAACGGCTCGGATCACGCAACAGCGCTTTTTCATCACGCCCCTGCAGGCGACCGATGAGGGCGAGGTAAACGCCACAAAGACCCGCTTCTATTGCTGGTGGGTGCCGCTCAGCTATACGAATGCCTCATCCAAGAACTTCGATTATACACTACCCCGCAGCTGGCTGACGTGCAAGAACAAGAACTTTGCCATGCCGGTGACGATCACAGATGCTGGTGCTCCCCAGGACTGGTTGGTGCTCAACCTAAAGCTCTCAGCCCTGTATCGGGTGAACTACGACAGTCGTAATTGGGAGCTCATAAAGGCGACGCTAGATGGGGACAATTATCAGGCAATTCATAAGATCAATCGCGCCCAGCTGGTGGACGATGCTCTGAATTTGGCGTGGAGCGGTACACTGACCTATCACTTCTCTCTCGGACTTATTGGGTTTCTGAAGCGCGAGGAGGCCTACATGGTGTGGGCAGCGGCTGCCCGCAGCTTGGATCGCGTTAACAACATTGTTAAGAATAGTCCGGCCTATCCCGTGTTCAAGGTGTGTGTCCCCACAATGGATGTGCCCTTATCTCCAGGTCATTTTTTTGTTTGTTGTTTTTGTTGCAGAGCTTTATGCGCGACCTGCTGGGACCTAAATTCGACGAGATTTTTGTAAAACCATCGGCCGGTAATAGTTTGGACACACTCTATCGTGTCATTATTTTCCAGCAAGCCTGTCATTACGAACTACTCGCTTGTGTGAATTTCGCACGTGACGAGTTCGCCAAACTCCGTCGCGTCCCCACACTTAATGCCCCGGATTCCGTGCCCGCAGACATACAAGAGACTCTATTCTGCACGGCCATTCGCTTTGGCAACGAGGCCGACTGGACGTGGCTTAAGAACAATTACATGCGCTCGAATGTGGCCGCCGAACAGAAGCTGATGCTGGCAGCCCTCGGTTGTAGTCGCGACACCTGGAGCCTGGAAATTATGCTTAAATGGACGTTTGCCGGAAAATTGGTCCGAAAACATGCGGCACAGCGCACCTTCAGGGCGGTGGTGAAGAATCCACTTGGCTATCATCTGGCGAAAAAGTTTCTCAGCGAGAATGCCTTCGTCATTCGCAACTTGTAAGTGGTTGAATCGAATTGGATCGATCTGTCTCTTAATATTTGCAATAATTTTCAAGCTGTCAGAACATGACCGGTAGATTGGTGGAAGTAATTAAGCCGCTCTTCGAGGAGGTTTCCACTCAAGAGGATCTCGATTATTGGACCAATTTCTTGCGTTCCCATTTCAAGAATATGCCCGGCATCGAGCGTCTCAAAAAGCTGTTGCTCGAGCTGGGCAAGGATAATATGTTTTGGAGGCGCACAAAATACAACGAGCTATTATCTGCCATACGAAGCCTTATCAAGATAGAAGAAATTCCGGAACTTTAGACGATGCTGAAACTTAGTAATATGAACTTGTAACGACAGAAAAAAATGGTAAAAAAATGGTAAAAAAAAATAAAATTAAAGATCACTTCTTTAATAATAACTTCTTTAATAATAATAATAATAAAATTAAATAAAATATTAAAAAAAAATTTTAAAAAATAAATTAAATAAAAATTAAATATAAGCAAAATAAATTAAATATAAACAAAATAAATGAAATATAAAAAAATCAAATAAAATACAAAAAATAATTGAAAAAAAATTAAATAAAATATAAAGTAATATTAAATAAAATATAAAAAAATAATTAGATATAAAAAAATAAATTAAATATAAAAACAAATAAATTAAATATAAAAACAAATAAATTAAATATAAAAACAAATAAATTAAATATAAAAAAATTAATTAAATACAAAAAACTAAATTAAATATAAAAAAATAAATGAAAACAATAAATAAATAAAAATAGAAATATAAAAAAAATAATAATATGGAAAGAACGAAGCAGTTTTCAGTGTTGAGATATATGCGGATTGTGTGCCTCGAACCGCTTCCTGCAGACAGACAATGAAAGCGATCTGGCGTGGGCTGCAAAGTTTTCTGAATTGAATTATTGAATATTGTCCTTATATTGTTCTATTGTTCAATATAAATACGAGTATGCATAATAGTATTCATTTCAAATGCGTATTAACAACAGAGACTGACTGCCAATTCGCTCACAGCAATCTGGCTTTTATTTGTAAGTCTGCAGCCTTCAGCTTCACAAATGCAATGCCCACACACTGATATTTATAAATACAATATGTGTGTGTATGTATGTGTGAAACAATTCCATTTAGCAACACCTAAACGCTGCTGACGTCATTAGCATGCTGTCGATTGGCACTTAAGGCGCTTAGTTGGCATTGGCGTTGTCGCTGGCTGCAAAAGTTCATGCCGCCATTGCTTATCAAAAGGTTACACAATTTCATTATTATTCATTGATGTCCATGCATGTGTACGTGTATATGTAGGTGTATGTGTAGGTGTATGTGCATGTGTGCGGCCTTTTGCATAACACGCTTGCATAACTGAAGCTGTCGGCCGTTGTTCAGCCTGCGCCAACATTTCCGCGCTTTGAGCATCAATCATATTTTCACATGCATGTCAGCGCACCCACAGTGTGCGTGTGTGTGTGTGTGTGTTTGTGTGTGTGGAACTCAATTTATTTAACATTACTTTGCATGATGTTGGGTGTTAAGCCGAGGGTCCGCATTCTAGGGTTCGACGTTCGCGCGTTGTGGCTGAAAGACTCTCATAGTCAGTCATATGTGAAATGCATGAAAATATACAAACACACAGGACTTTTACACACACACACACACACACCTATGAGTTACCAATTTGTGCATTTATGTATGTGGTGGTGTGTGTGTGTGTGTCGGCACACATTGTTATTTAATAAAATAAAACAAACACGCCACTTGACTGGCATTATTTGAATTGCCTTTTGCATGGTTTGCTGCACCGACCAACTGACTAACTGACCAACTGACTAACTGACAAGCCGACAAACTGACAAACTCACTTGATTGACAGCAATCAGCACAATCAGCGCTCCAATATTGTCTGTTACTAGTGTTATTGTTGTTATTATTGTTGCTATTTCTGCTGAATGCCTTGCGGCTTTTTTCGCACACGGGCACTGTCATTGTCATTGTCGTTGTTGCTGCCTCTGCCCCTGTGCCCCAGTTACCGCCCCTCCTACACCTACTCGTGCCACGCCCAGCCGCATCAAATTTAGCTCAGCTAATTAGCGTCTTATTTGCCTCGTTTATTACGCATACGCCACGTGCACACGGCCAAATGTTAATGAGCTGGGTTCAAATTTCAAAATTTGCGTCAGCACTAAACCCAGCAATACTCATCTAGACACTCTACTACACTGCATAACAAGTTTGCCCTTTTCATAAATGAATAAATTAAATAAATTCATTAATGATTACTATTAATAATAATCATAAATTAATTGTCAAGTTTATTTAACCAATTTAATGATTGTCCACGATGGACAGTTTTAAATAAAAACAATCTGCTGATACAAAAAAAAGTTTTCCCTCTGGTCCCCAAGTCATATATACGAGTGTATTGCCTGCAAGTTAAATATTTTACACACATCTCTACAACAGAGAGATAAGTTTTCATTCGTTTATAGCTGATATAAATGTTCTAAAATTTGTATTCTAAATGATTTTGTATGAAACATATTTTAAATTTTTGTAGGAGTAAAAAAAAATTGTAACATAATTGTTATTGACAAAAAAAAAGTTTATATCAGTCATAGACAAATAATGCTTCAATTTATTAATACAATTATATATAACTGTATTAAATTTGCTTAAATATTTTTCTCGATAATGACTTACGCTTTCGACATAATTAAAGCGAAAAAGAAAGAAAGAAAGAAATTTAAACTAATAACAAGTTGCTGTGAAAATATTTTAGTCTACTTGTAAATTACATATATATAAAGTGGTTATCAATTAAATATAGTAAATAAAGAAGATATTTATATACTCGTATATGTGAGGTGCTGTACGGACGCAAGCAACTGTAAGTGATTTCGTTTGGCAGGACTGGCAGGCGAGCATCTAGAGTCCTTGAGTTGTAATTTTTGATTAATTTGTTGTTAAACGAGTTTTATATTTCATAGTTTTCACACATTTGCTGGAACCAATAGGTCACAACTTGTTAGTATTTAATATTATTTAATAGATGCGACGACATTGTCTATCAAATTTAAATGACACACAGATTTCTTGCATTGTTAAAAGACTTAAAGCCAATGTTTGAAATTTAATATTTGTTTATTATCATTTTATTTATTTATTAATTTATTGACCTACTCTCCTAAGAAAAACTTGAAATTGTTTTTAGCTTTGCTTGAATATGCATTATGTTTGTTATACATTTATTTAAATTCAAATTTAATAGCTAATATTTCATTTGTTGTTATATGGATAGCAAGATTTGTGCGGAATCGCGATTGGATGCGTAATGGTTTTCGACTCATGCGGTAGCTGATTTAAAATGAAGTCCTTTAAAATGCTGTAGAGCATATCTGTTTAAAGCGTTAATTGGACTATTATTTGAGTTTCTATGTTGGTTCTAGCACATCAACAAACAATTCTTTTCCATTTTCTTCCAAATATATAGTATGCTCAACTGATTAGCTCAATCGTTTTCGAGTTGGTTCCAAACGAACATCGATTTTTTCAGAGCTACCAAATTTTCTTAACAAATCTTTATAAACGCAAAATTTCTTCTTCTGATCTATAAACTATTTCTCTGCTCATGCTGAGCTTATAAACTAGTACACCCTTATCCCCTTCCGAGCAAGCTCTTCAATCTCAATTTAATTTCTAATGTGCACTTTAAATGAAATGGGTTTAAATAATGCATAATACAACTATTATTCGTTTGCCCTGTAATTTCAAATGACTACCCAAGCGAGCTAATAGCATTGACATTTGTGCGTTTGGAAATGTGGAGTACTATCTGGCAAGCAAATATACCCTGTGGGTCTCTCGCATCAATGCCAACCAAACATGGCATGTTTAAGTTAAATATTTGACATTGATTAAAGCATGTCAAGCGTCTATTTATATTTGCAATCATCCTATATGAGAGTCTTGAGAAATAACAAATACTTAGTTGCACAATTTTGAATTAAATCAAATAGATGCTTGCGCAGCATTCTACATACTACAAGTACAATATTCTGCAAGTACGAGTACGAGTATATCCTGGAATGAAATATAATGTTGTATTGTGTAATTAGGGAGAGACGGCGACCGAATGAATTGCTTGACCGGCCCACAATGAGTGACGAACATGCAATACTTATTCAAATGTGTGAATGCATTCCATAGAGCATGAAAGCGTAAAGCCTGTCGTTTGTAGTTGGTAGTTCGTAGTTTGTAGTTGGTATTTGATAGTTGGTAGCTGGTAGCTGGACCGCTACTTTGTGACTGGCAAATGTGCAAATGTTAACGCAAGACAACGACGACCACAAAAGAGGAAGACATTAAGCAAGGCAGTATACAGAATGGGTGTGGATGGCTAGAGGATGGACAGAGTATAGAGAGAGAGATAGGGATCCACAAGCATAACCGACAAGCACAAGACATCGCAGCCATAGAGAGTCAAATTCAACCGAGCAGAAGTCAAGCTGGCCAAGCGGACAGTCGCAGCATGGAGGATATGGCCACACAGTCCACACCCACAGCCATACAGCTACAGCTACAGCTACAGATACTCGTACTTACAATTATATGTATATATATATATGTAGAATAGATGGGGGGCCAGGCATTTGAGGACATCTTGTGGCATGCGACAAACATTGTTGGCCATTTACATGTTGTTGATTTTAAGTAACTTCCTTCCTGCTGCTCTGCTCTCGGTTCAGCTCAGCTCAGCTCTGCGCCTTTTTGTTTGTTCGGCCATGTGGCTTCAATATCTCTCTAGTTGTTGTTCTTATTATGTTGACTGTCCTTTTGTTGTTGCTGTTGGAGGCTTTGTTTTATTTAGTTTCATTTAGTGCCCTTTGTTGGGCCTTTTATATATTATTTAAATGCAATCTGTCCTTCTAAGCAGACGCATCGCTGCACCTTCCACAAAAATGTGCCTTTGACTTACGACATTCGAAAAAGCCAGCAAATTAGATAATAAATTTTCGTTTTCGAATCCGACTAAATTATAGACATGTCTTTTAAGCTGTGGTCCTAAATTTATGTGCATGCTCGTACTTTTTTTTTGCATTTCAAGCAAAGCTTTCAGGAATCGAAATACAGTATGTAGGCTGTTGTATTTAATTTCTCTTTCCTAAACTGCATTGCCTAAAATAATTATTTTAAAGTAATTACGACAAACATTGGTATTATTTATATTAAAGTCATTTGCATAGAAATTATAGTTTTACTAACCATTAAAAAGGAAATTCTTTTGGGCCTTCTTAAGTTTAGAGATTTTGTACAAAGGCATTTGGAAATGTATTTAAAAATATAAAAATAAATTTAAAAAAAAAAAACAATTTTTTTAATAAAA